GTGATTGGAACACCTGATTCCAATAATTTGGATGGGTGAGCAAATACTTTTGGCAATATAGTGTATATTCGATTAGACAGAATGGGAATGTGATCAGCCAAAAATTGGGTTTTCAACCTGAAATCAGAAAAGTGTTTACTGTAGATATCCTGTTGTGTTTGGAACAAAATTAATGATTTAAGCTTTTTCATAATGATTGAATGTAATGTAAAACAAAAAAAGGCCCAATTATAAAAAGATTAAAACTTGTTTTTGTCATTGGTCATGATAAGAACATTAATTGCAAATATGTTTTTTTTATGTTTTCTGTGGTTGATAAATCATTCCAGGACAGTTAATTGCTTTAATCAACCTAACAAATCAATTCATAGTACATTTTGTTGGGTTTAAGGGTACTGCAGCCATGTGACACTTCCATTTTACATTGGTAAACAGATCAGTAATCCACACATGTTAGTTTCTTCTGGCAAAAACGTCAGAATCCCAATGATTTTGACAAATCTAAGCTTTCTGCTAATTATATGAATATGAAGGTTTATTGAGTTGATTGCTGTTTTCTGGATTGCTGTACTTTTTAAATATTTCTGAAGATTCTAAGTCATCCTGCTTTTTCAAAAAAGCTTTTTCAATATCCTACAAACTCAAAACTGTTTATATAATCATTTTAAATGTAAGAGATTACTTTTTTAATCATCAGTACAGTGCATAAACACATTTTGATTCAACCCGAGTCTCAGTGTCTTGCAAAATTTCTCTTTCTATGAAATCATTATTAATTTTCACTAATTCTAGTTTTGATTTAGGCCTGATTTGTAGAGGTGATGTTTTATAAGGCCTGTCTACACTCAAGATATTTAGACAATTTTCAAATCGATAATTAGATAATTCCATAAACTAATGTAGTATTGGCTGACTAATTGGATTACTTATGGTTTTTTTTGTATTAATACAAATTAGGGGATTAGGGCCACTGAAAAAAAAAAAAAAAAGTTAACTGATTTTTTTTTTTTTAACGTGGGAAAAAAGTCAGAATTCTGAGAAAAAAGTCAGAATTCTGACTTTTTTCCCCATGTTAAACTGAAATAAAATTTAAAAAATCAGTTCACTTTTTTTTTTTTCAGTGGCCCTAATCCTCTTCCATATTTACCAGACATTAATGTTTGAACTAATTTACTCATGGACTGTGTGGAAATCTAGAAAAATAGAATCACTGTAAATAGAACTCTTCTGCTTGTCTTTATCCTATTT